CTATACATGTACATTATGCTAATATATTATAATATTAATTTATATTTGAGAAAATTCCGGGTTTTGCATGAACAGCATTTAAAAATTGATGAATGCGTCTGTGGGGTCGAGCGCTGGATGGAATGGACTTGAGTCGAGGACGGGTTGATCACAAGGCTTCATAATATATTACGAGGCTTCAGAAGATTGCTAAAAATGAAAAATTAACTCATTTTCTTTATAAAGCTGAAAGTTGTCTATGTGATTTCTTTATAAAGCTGAAAGTTGTCTATATATAAGGCAGCACACCAGGTGCTTTACGACTATCTACAAAGCTTATTAAAGATTATAACTGCTTGACTAAGCTCTCAGACGTTTCAATTAGCTTTTGAGAAGCTCAAAAAGCCTTGGACGTACTCGTACTTAACATTTGCGATTAAAAATATTTAAATAAAAATAAATTACATTTAAATTAAACTATAACAAATATAATTTAAATTAAATTTAAATTTATATAACTTGTTTGAAATTAAATATAAATGAAAATTAATTTAGAATCAAATAAAAATTAAATTGAAATTAAATGAAAATTAGATTAAAAAAAATAGTTAAATTTTAATTAAATATAAAGATGGTCATTATTTACAAAGCTGAGGTCAATAATTAACACCAAGTTAACAGCGGACAAAAAGCAAAAAATACCAATCTATATCGGAGTGTGAAGAAGGCGTGTTAGTGCTATATAGAGCTCACCTATATAGAGCTCACCTATATAGAGCTCACCTATATAGAGCTCACCTATATAAAGCTCACCTATATAGAGCTCACCTATATAGAGCTCACCTATATAGAGCTCACCTATATAAAGCTCACCTATATAAAGTCACCTATATAGAGGTCACCTATATAAGCTCACCAATATAAAGGTCACCTATATAGAGGTCACCTATATAAAGCTCACCAATATAAAGGTCACCTATATAGAGGTCACCTATATAAAGCTCACCAATATAAAGGTCACCTATATAGAGGTCACCTATATAAAGCTCACCAATATAAAGGTCACCTATATAGAGCTCACCTATATAAAGCTCACCAATATAAAGGTCCCCTATATAGAGGTCACCTATATAAAGCTCACCAATATAAGGTCACCTATATAGAGCTCACCTATATAAAGCTCACCAATATAGAGCTCACCTATATAGAGCTCACCTATATAGAGGTCACCTATATCGAGCTCACCTATATAAAGCTCACCAATATAAAGGTCACCTATATAAAGCTCACCTACAGTCACCAACCACTTTCAATCCTAACCTTTAGATTGATGAATCTGAAACACCAGATTGAAGCAATCTAAGTTGGAGAAGTGTGTCCAGCAGAGCGAGAGACAGAGAGAGAGAGCGAGAGAGAGAGAGAATACACAAGAAAGAAAAAACGAAGAAAAAGAACCTTCCTTCTACCCTCCCTCCCTCCCTAACCCCTCACCCCCCCCCCCACGGGCTGACTGACTCTGGGTCTAACTTGTGTGAGCTAAGTTAATGAAACAGGCGAAGCTTCCCTCGTACCATCTGATTGAAACCACCGATTCTCCGCTCCAAGTTTTAATTAGATCTGCTAGACTCTTCTTGAGCCTCTGGCTGAGAAGGTGAGAGGGGGAGAGAGAGGGCAGAGAGATGAAGTACGGGGGGGGTAGAGAGAAGAGGGGGGGTAGGTAGAGGGGGGGGTTTAGGTAGTAGTAGGTAGTGTGGTATGAGAGAGAGAGAGAGAGAGAGAGAGAGAGAGAGAGAGAGAGAGAGAGAGAGAGAGAGAGAGAAGAGAGAGAGAGAGAGAGATAGAGGAGAGAGAGAGAGAGAGAGAGAGAGAGAGAGAGAGAGAGAGAGAGAGAGAGAGAGAGAGAGAGAGAGAGAGAGAGAGAGAGAGAGAGAGAGAGAGAGAGTAGAGGAGAGAGAGGGGGAGAGAAGGGAGGGGGGAGAGTGGAGAGAGAGGAAGGGGGGGTGGTGGTGGTGGGGGGGGATAGAGAGGAGAGAGAGAGAGAGTATCTCAAGAGTGATCTATCAACCTCTGAAGGTTATTAAGGCCTATGAACCTCTGGAGGGTATTAAGGTCTATCAACCTCTGAAGGGTTATTAAGGTCTATCAACCTCTGGTGGTTATTAAGGTCTATCAACCTCTGGAGGGTTATTAAGGTCTATCAACCTCTGGAGGGTTATTGAGTCCTATCAACCTCTGATGGGTTATTAAGATCTATCATCCTCTGGAGGGTTATTGAGGCTTATCAACCTCTGAAGGGTCATTAAGGTCTATCAACCTCTGAAGGGTTATTACGGCCTATCAACCTCTGATGGGTCATTAAGACTTATCAACCTCTGAAGGGTCATTAAGGTCTATCAACCTCTGGAGGGTTAATACCTAAGGTTAAAAAAGCCACCACAATAACTGACCAACCACTAAATATGCTGTATACCCTCGAACATTGTCCAGGACTAAGGTAAACTCTACATATACACACCTGGATGCGTATCTAGAGGTTTACCTCTATATGTATACCTCCCCTTGTTAAAGCCTTTCATCTACGTGTGTACTCCAAGCAGGTCGCCTCTCCTACTCTACACCTTCCAAGAGAGTAAACCTAGTTTCCTTCGTCTCACTCTAATGACTTGAAAGTCGAACCCTTTTGGACCATCGGGGATCGAACACCGACCAAGCAAGACGTGAGATCACCGCTCCGTAATATTAAGACTACTAGATTAAGTAGTTATACCTCCTCTCTCTCTCTCTCTCTCTCTCTCTCTCTCTCTCTCTCTCTCTCTCTCTCTCTCTCTCTCTCTCTCTCTCTCTCTCTCTCTCTCTCTCTCTCACTCTCTCTCTCTCACTTCACTGTACACTTGAAATAGGACCTCAAGTGGGCAACAGAAAAGTATTTTCTTGTTTTGTTTCTTAAGCAACATTTTGTTTTTGTATCATACTGGTTATATACAGATTTTTTTAAATCTGTTTTATTTGTTTTTTTTAATCCTTGCTAATCCTGTTTCCCGTTCACTATCACATTACACAGATGTAAAGGTTTAGAAAAGCCATCTTTAGTGTATTTGTCAACACTCAACTGCTAGTGTTCAGTCCAAATTGTGAGTGTGCGAGTGTGTGTGTGTGTGTGTGTGTGTGTGTGTGTGTGTGTGTGTGTGTGTGTGTGTGTGTGTGTGTGTGTGTGTGTGTGTGTACTCACCTATTTGTGCTTGCGGGGGTTGAGCTCTGGCTCTTTGGTCCCGCCTCTCAACTGTCAATCAACAGGTGTACAGGTTCCTGAGCCTATTGGGCTCTATCATATCTACACTTGAAACTGTGTATGGAGTCAGCCTCCACCACATCACTTCCTAGTGCATTCCATTTGTCAACCACTCTGACACTAAAAAAGTTCTTTCTAATATCTCTGTGGCTCATTTGGGCACTCAGTTTCCACCTGTGTCCCCTTGTGCGTGTTCCCCTTGTGTTAAACAGCCTGTCTTTATCAACCCTGTCGATTCCCTTGAGTATCTTGAATGTGGGGATCATGTCCCCCCTAACTCTTCTGTGTGTGTGTGTGTGTGTGTGTGTGTGTGTGTGTGTGTGTGTGTGTGTGTGTGTGTGTGTGTGTGTGTGTGTGTGTGTGTAGGGGGCTCTTCGTGCAACATGTTTAAACAATGGTCTTATTATTACCCTCTGCATTAGTTCCATCCACAAACAATAATGCTGAGTTTCACCCCTGTGGTCTAAAAAAAATAAAATTTACCACAAATTATTATTAGTAAACAGGAAAGGTCCCAGGACAGAGCCCTGAGGCACTCACTCTGATTTCTTCATCAGGTATTGAAGGCACTGATTTCACTTCATTCATGCTGAAGTCTATGCTAATCAGACCCATTCAGCACTCCTCTCTCCCTATGCTTCTTTCTCCTATTCCAGTTCAATGTTTCCTTTCCCAGTCGCCTTCCCCTTCCCACCGCCTCCTCCCCCCTTTCCTTAATTGCTCTACTGACCTCATCCAAACTCTCCGAATGTAAAAAGCCGCCACAGGACCACAGAAAAAATATATATATGAGGGGGCGAAATGCAGTAAAGATTTTGTATAATCAAAACATGTGTTGTGTATACGGTGTTGTCACCTCCTGTGGATGCTGGGATTTACCTGTGGATGCTGGGATTTACCTGTGGATGCTGGGATTTATCTGTGGATGCTGGGATTTATCTGTGGATGCTGGGATTTACCTGTGGATGCTGGGATTTATCTGTGGATGCTGGGATTTATCTGTGGATGCTGGGATTTATCTGTGGATGCTGGGATTTATCTGTGGATGCTGGGATTTATCTGTGGATGCTGGGATTTATCTGTGGATGCTGGGATTTATCTGTGGATGCTGGGATTTATCTGTGGATGCTGGGATTTACCTGTGGATGCTGGGATTTATCTGTGGATGCTGGGATTTATCTGTGGATGCTGGGATTTATCTGTGGATACTGGGATTTATCTGTGGATGCTGGGATTTATCTGTGGATAGTGGGATTTATCTGTGGATGCTGGGAGTAATCTCCTGTGGATGCTGGGGGTAATCTCCTGTGGATGCTGGGAGTAGAGGTGTGGATAGATGGCAAAGGAGTAATCTCTCTCACTCTCTTCTTTCACTTCTATCTTTCTCTCCTCCTTATTTTTCCCATTCTTCATCCCTTCTTTGCCTCTCCATCATCCTTCTTTCACACTATTCCCCCATTCCCCCCTATCTTCCTCAAGCATTATATTCCACTATTCTTCCCTTCAGGAAGATAACATGTCTCAATGTCTCAAGGAAAACGCGAGAAGAAGGGTAGGGGGGAAAAAACCCGGTGAGAACCCTTTTACAAACTATTTCCACTTTCTTCCCCAAACAATGGTTCCCCGCCATGTTTTTGCCCGGTGAAATATTTCCAACGGATGGGAGCATTTGTCCAGCAAACATGGAGGAGGAAGCTGGGACCGGTGCGTGGGGCTAGTCTGTTTACCTTACCCAGCTGACTGGTAGGGGGCTGGCTGGCTGGCTGGCTGGCCTTCTCTGTGGCCACCGTCCTGTCTGTGGTCTCTGTGGCCCAGTCTCGTGTCTGTGGGCCAGCCTCGTGTCTGTGGTCTCTGTGGCCACCCTCGTGTCTGAGGTCTCTGTGGCCAGCCTCGTGTCTGTGGTCTCTGTGGCCACCCTCGTGTCTGAGGTCTCTGTGGCCAGCCTCGTGTCTGAGGGCCAGCCTCGTGTCTGTGATCTCTGTGGGCCAGCCTCGTGTCTGTGGGACAGCCTCGTGTCTGTGGTCTCTGTGGCCACCCTCGTGTCTAAGGTCTCTGTGGCCAGCCTCGTGTCTGAGGGCCAGCCTCGTGTCTGTGATCTCTGTGGGCCAGCCTCGTGTCTGTGGGCCAGCCTCGTGTCTGTGGGACAGCCTCGTGTCTGTGGGCCAGCCTCGTGTCTGTGGGACAGCCTCGTGTCTGTGGGACAGCCTCGTGTCTGTGGGACAGCCTCGTGTATGTGGTCTCTGTGGCCAGCCTCGTGTCTGTGGTCTCTGTGGCCAGCCTCGTGTCTGTGGTCTCTGTGGCCAGCCTCGTGTCTGTGGTCTTTGTGGCCCCCGTCCTGTCTGTAGTCTCTGTGGCCACCGTCCTGCTTGTGGTCTTTGTGGCCCCCGTCCTGTCTGTAGTCTCTGTGGCCTTCGTCCTGTCTGAGGTCTCTGTGGCCACCGTCCTGTCTGTGGTCTCTGTGGCCCCCGTCCTGTCTGTAGTCTCTGTGGTCACCGTCCTGTCTGTGGTCTCTGTGGCCACCGTCCTGCTTGTGGTCTCTGTGGCCATCGTCCTGTCTGAGGTCTCTGTGGCCCCCGTCCTGTCTGTGGTCTCTGTGGCCCCCGTCCTGTCTGTAGTCTCTGTGGCCACCGTCCTGCTTGTGGTCTCTGTGGCCATCGTCCTGTCTGAGGTCTCTGTGGCCATCGTCCTGTCTGTGGTCTCTGTGGCCACCGTCCTGTCTGTAGTCTCTGTGGCCACCGTCCTGCTTGTGGTCTCTGTGGCCATCGTCCTGTCTGAGGTCTCTGTGGCCACCGTCCTGCTTGTGGTCTCTGTGGCCATCGTCCTGTCTGAGGTCTCTGTGGCCACCGTCCTGTCTGTGGTCTCTGTGGCCATCGTCCTGTCTGAGGTCTCTGTGGCCACCGTCCTGTCTGTGGTCTCTGTGGCCACAGTCCTGTCTGTGGTCTCTGTGGCCATCGTCCTGTCTGAGGTCTCTGTGGCCACCGTCCTGTCTGTGGTCTCTGTGGCCACAGTCCTGTCTGTAGTCTCTGTGGCCACCGTCCTGCTTGTGGTCTCTGTGGCCATCGTCCTGTCTGAGGTCTCTGTCGCCACCGTCCTGTCTGTGGTCTCTGTGGCCACCGTCCTGTCTGAGGTCTCTGTGGCCAGCCTCGTGTCTGTGGTCTCTGTGGCAAGCCTCGTGCCTGTGGCCACCGTCTTGTCTGTGGTCTCTGTGGCCAGTCTCGTGTCTGTGGTCTCTGTGGCACCCGGCCTGTCTGTGGTCTCTGTGGCCCCCACAATCCCCACCATCCCCTCCCTCACTCAAGAACCCATTCCTCTCCAACCTCAGCTGCACAAATGCCCCTAGCCCGTAGCCCCTAGACCTTAGCTCCTAGCCCCTAGCGCTTAGCCCCTAGACCCTATCCCCCTAACCCCTAGCCAGCCTAACCCGAAGCGGACCTGGGTGGCTGTAGGAGGCCAGAAGGAATATTTTATTAATAATTTGATCTTACCTCTATGGAAATAGGGGCGTTAATGGAGTGGGGGAAGGAGGAGGAGGAGGGGAGTAGAAGACTTAGGGAAGGTAGGGAAGGGAGGGAAGAAGGGAATAGAGCAAGAGAAAGAAGAAGAAGAAGAGGTAGGAAAGGGAAAGAAAGCACGTTACTCAGCCTTCAACGAGTTCGGGGCAGGCTCCAGAGGATGATGAAAGGTCTGTCTTGAAATATTCAGACGTGCGCTTATACCTGTTTAGGAAGGAAAGGGGGGGGGGGAGTGAGGGAGGGGGGGAAGTGAGGGAAAGGAGAGGGGGGAAGTGAGGGAAGGGAAGGGAAGGGGTCTCGCTACATAGCACTTGGAAGATACACGATGGGTTATGAGGAGAATATATCGACGAGATATGAGGACGATATATGAACCGGTGTCTCGATCACTCGGACCATCGTGGGTGAGTATAGGGAGGGGGGGGGGGTAACAGGTGAGTGGTGAGTAGTGCGGGTACTCAGTGTAGAGGTAGAGCTGTGCGGGAGAGCAGTGCGGGTACTCGCTAGGTAACCCAGATTCTTGGTTTGCGTGTGTGTGTGTGTGTGTGTGTGTGTGTGTGTGTGTGTGTGTGTGTGTGTGTGTGTGTGTGTGTGTGTGTGTGTGTGTGTGTGTGTGTGTGTGTGTGTGTGTGTGTGTGTGTGTGTGTGTGTGTGTGTGTTGTGTTTTTACGGGGGTGAGCTTTGCTCTTTGCCTCTCAACTGTCAATCAACTGTACTCACCTATTTGTGTCTGCAGGATCGAACATTGACTCTTGGATCCCGCCTTTCGAGCATCGGTTGTTTACAGCAATGACTCCTGTCCCATTTCCCTATCATACCTAGTTTTAAAATTATGAATAGTATTTGCTTCCACAACCTGTTCCTTAAGTGCATTCCATTTTCCCACTACTCTCACGCTAAAAGAAAACTTCCTAACATCCCTGTGACTCATCTGAGTTTCCAGCTTCCATCCATGTCCCCTCGTTCTGTTACTATTCCGTGTGAACATTTCGTCTATGTCCACTCTGTCAATCCCCCTGAGTATTTTATACGTTCCTATCATGTCCCCCTCTCCCTTCTTCTTTCTAGTGTCGTAAGGCACAGTTCCTTCAGGCGCTCCTCATACCCCATCCCTCGTAGCTCTGGGACGAGTCTCGTTGCAAACCTCTGAACCTTTTCCAGTTTCCTTATATGCTTCTTCAGATGGGGACTCCATGATGAGGCGGCATACTCTAAGACTGGCCTCACGTAGGCAGTGTAAAGCGCCCTAAATGCCTCCTTACTTAGGTTTCTGAATGATGTTCTAACTTTTGCCAGTGTAGAGTACGCTGCTGTCGTTATCCTATTTATATGTGCTTCAGGAGATAGATTAGGTGTTACGTCCACGCCCAGGTCTCTTTCTCGCGTCGTCACAGGTAGGCAGTTCCCCTTCATTGTATACTGTCCCTTTGGTCTCCTATCTCCTAGTCCCATTTCCATAACTTTACATTTACTCGTGTTGAACTCTAGTAGCCATTTCTCTGACCATCTCTGCAACCTGTTCATGTCCTCTTGGAGGATCCTGCAATCCTCATCTTTCACAACTCTTCTCATCAACTTTGCGTCATCCGCGAACATCGACATGTAGGACTCTACTCCTGTAAACATGTCGTTAACTTATACTAGAAATAGAATTGGTCTCACTACCGATCCTTGTGGTACTCCACTCGTTACTGTTCGCCAGTCCGACTTCTCGTGCCTTACCGTAACTCTTTGGCTCCTTCCTGTTAGGTAGTTCCTTATCCATGCTAGGACCTTTCCTCCCACCCCCGCCTGCCTCTCGAGTTTGAACAGCAGTCTCATGTGCAGTACTGTATCAAAGGCTTTTTGGCAGTCCAGAAATATGCAGTCTGCCCAACCATCTCTGTCCTGTCTTATCCTCGTTATTTTATCATAGAATTCCAAAAGGTTTGTTAGGTACGATTTCCCTGTCCAGAACCCATGTTGATGTTTGTTCACAAACCTAATGTTCTCCAGGTGTGCAACCAGTCGTAGCCTAATTATTCTTTCCAGTATTTTACAGGGGATGCTTGTCAGTGATACAGGTCTATAGTTAAGTGCCTCTTCCCTATCGCCTTTCTTGAAGATCGGCACGACATTTGCCTTCTTCCAGCAACTGGGCAATTCTCCCGACTTAAGTGACTCATTAAAGATCATTGCCAGAGGCACGCTGATGGCCTGTGCTGCTTCTTTTAGTATCCACGGTGATACTTTGTCTGGTCCAACTGCTTTAGTTGCATCCAGTGTTGTCAACTGTTTCATTACCTCCTCTGCTGTCGCCTCTATATCTGATAGTCTTTCATCTAGGAGTAATCCCTTCTAAGAATGGGAGCTGCTCAGGCTCGGTAGTGAATACTCCATGGAAACTTGCATTCAGTTCCTCGTAGATTTCCTTGTCACTTTCAGTATATGCCCCCTCTGTCTTCCTTAGTCTTGTCACTTGGTCGTTCACCGACATTTTTCTTCTTATATGACTGTGTAGTAACTTAGGTTGCTTTTTCGTTTTGATTGCAATATCGTTCTCATAGTCCCTTTCCGATGTTCGTCTTATGTTAATGTAATCGTTCCTAGCTCTGGTGTATCTGATTCTGTTGTCCTCTGTCCTTTGTCTTCTGTACTTCCTCCACTCCCTCCTGCTGGCCATTTTTGCTACCTGACACTGTCTATTAAACCATGGGTTATTATATTCCTTCTTATTTTTTCCCTTTACTGTTAGTATGAATCTCACTTCGGCCTCCTGGCATTTCCGTATGACTAGGTCCATCATGTCTTGGACTGTTTTTCCTCTAATTTCTTCCTCCCACTGCACTTCTCCCAGATAGTCCCTTCCCTCCTGTAGTCCCCTTTCCTGTAGTCAACTCTCCTTTCCCAGACCTCTTGTCCCATGGTCATAAGTTTGAATTCTATCATGTAGTCAAAGACTAGGACACAATGGTCGCTGGCCCCTAGAGGTATTTCATGCTCCAAATTCTCGATGTCTTCTACGTTCTGGATGAAAATCAGGTCTAATAGGCTCGGTGCATCTCCTCCTCTTTCCCTTGTGTCTTTCTTCACATGTTGTGTTAGGAAATTCCTATTTATAACATCTACTAACTTTGCTCCCCACGTTTCGTCCCCTCCATGGGGATTCCTTGATTCCCAATTTATCTCTCCATGATTTAGGTCCCCCATGACCAGCAGCTTCGCTCTCATTCTGTGGGCTAGTGTTGCTGCCTTCTGCAGTTCATATATGCATGCCTTGTTGTTGTCATCATACTCCTGCCTGGGTCTTCTACTGTTTGGTGGGGGATTGTAGATTACCAAGATCACAATCTTCCTCCCATCTACTGTCAGAGTTCTATGTATGAAGCTTGTGCACTCATTGGTAACTCGATTTCCCAGGTCTTCAAACTTCCATTACCGCTTTATTAGGAGTGCCACTCCCCCTCCCTGTCTCTGTGTCCTCTCTCTTCGTATCACCTGGTACCCCTCTGGAAAGATTGCAACTGAGATCATGTCATTTATTTTAGTTTCCACAATTGCAACTATGTAAGGATCTGCCTCACTCACTTTTTCTTTTATCTCTTCTGTTTTATTAGATACCCCATCAGCATTGGTGTACCAAACCTTGAGATTCTTCATGGAAACTCTTGTACCAAAGTTCGCCCTTTCTCTGGGGGTCTGAGGGGATCTGGGGGGTGTCTGGGGTGAATGGGGGCTGGGTGAATCCGGGGGGGGGTGTGTGCGTGTGTGTGTGTGTGTGTGTGTGTGTGTGTGTGTGTACGTCCGTACGTCCGTGTGCACTGAACGCGACGAAGGTAGAGCAGGTGTTTGATGGAGGGAGAAATTAAGTCTGGTTACCTGTACTGAACTGTGGAGATATGTATTCACGAGGCAAAATATTCACTATATACAGATGCTCGTGGGTCGCATACTGCAACACACACACACACACACACACACACACACACACACACACACACACACACACACACACACACACACACACACACACACACACACACGCATACACACACACACACACACACACACACACACACCACACACACACACACACACACACACACACACACACACACACATACACACACATACACACATACACACACACACACACACACACACACACACACACACACACACACACACACACACACACACACACACACACACACACACACACACACACACACACACACAGGACACATACACACACAGACACACACACACACACACACACACACACACACACAGACACACACACACACACACACACACACACACACACACACACACACACCCCGCTCACGTGCAAAGCTTGCAAATAATTGCAGACAATCTGAAATAATATGCAAATTCAGTCTCTGGTAGGGATAGAACGGATTGAAGGAACGGTGCCTAAATCCCTTTGACCACTGGGAATCGAGCTCCGACATGCAAATAACGCGGATGAGGTCTGTCTCCACCCACTTAACCACCAACTGAACCTATGAGAATACCACCTCCCTCTTTTTCACATACACAAACACACAAACACGACGTTGAAGTTGGAAAAAAATATTGAAGTAACCAGACCTATTTCATCACCATTTTCATCAGTTTATACCAGACTTCTTAAGACAGACTTAGTCCGAAACGTTCAGAAATGGTAAATTAGAAATCTCCTATGAAGTACACTCAAGTATTCCTCTTGATTCAACTTTATTCGGCTCAAATGAAACTGTCAAAATCTTCACCAAAACAGAACAAAACTGAATGACCAGAAGCCGGTGAACCAGAGCACAGGTGATGTGTATGTCCAAGAAATATAATTCATTAAGGTGTTTGATCTTAGCTAAATACCCGTCTAGAAGACCAAGACATTCTTTTGAAGTCTCACAACATCACTTAATCTATCTCTAAAAAGACTGACACACAGAACCTCACGCAACTCCTTTCAGTTAGACTACTAGTTAAATGTCCTGAATCTAACGCAGATGACATTTTCGGACGCCCTTCCTCGTGTATTGTAGTGGGGATCTACCAGAGAGTTTGAGAGACGTCGTGACGATTCGTAACTATTTATCATCTATATGTCTATCGATGCAGCCAGTTAAATCGACAATATGGGGAATAACCATTTCACGCAAGTCCCATTCCCTATAAAACAGCCCCCCCCCCCCAAAAAAAAGAGGAATAATTAGACAGAGATTGACTGCAAGGTGTGAAAGCTTCTCATTCTAGGGATTTTCTATTAGCTGACAATAATTTTTCCCCCATGGCCATTCACTTCGATTCACTTACCCTTGGAAATGGGGAAGCCCATCGCCTTCCTACTGCGTATAACTAATGACCATCAAACCATACTGCTGTGGTAGGCTGATATACAGGTAGTGAACTCTCAGGTAGATGACAGCTCTCACGCAGGCGGGAGAGCTGTCATCTCCAAGGGAGACTGAGAAAGCCGTAAGATACGAAGCTCTCGGGGTGAAAATGTACTCAAGGACCTGAAGGAGCTTTTAATAAACTAATACATTCTAACTAACATTAAATGTATTGAATTGTCTTGAGAAAAATAACTTGCATCGTGTATTGAATGAATAGCTTTTTCACAAATGGTATTATGAAAGAAAATCCTCATGGGAATTCAGAGAAAATCTGAAAGTTTTCCTTCGATATCTTTCATTTACTTCTTTCATTGCTATGGTATCATAATATTGCCAGGTGTGGCCTCGATAACACAGCTAAATTACATTTTAAATGTAATTTTCTCTCTTAATTTTTCAGCGGGATCACTTGGGCGGAATGAGCGTCATCTGAGCCTACCTGAGAACATCTGAGCCTACCTGGGAACATCTGAGCCTACCTGGGAACATCTGAGCCTACCTGGGAACATCTGAGCCTACATGAGAACATCTGAGCCTACATGAGAACATCTGAGCCTACATGAGAACATCTGAGCCTACATGAGAACATCTGAGCCTACATGAGAACATCTGAGCCTACCTGAGAACATCTGAGCCTACCTGAGAACATCTGAGCCTACATGAGAACATCTGAGCCTACATGAGAACATCTGAGCCTACATGAGAACATCTGAGCCTACATGAGAACATCTGAGCCTACATGAGAACATCTGAGCCTACATGAGAACATCTGAGCCTACATGAGAACATCTGAGCCTACATGAGAACATCTGAGCCTACATGAGAACATCTGAACACACCAGAGAACATCTGAGCCTACCTGAAAACATCTGAACTGAGAACATCTGAACCTTCAGAGAACATCTACCTTCATGAGAAACATCTGAGAACATCTGCTTCTGAGAACATCTGAATGAGACATCTGAGCCTACCTGAGAACATCTGAACCTTCATGAGAACATCTCTGAGAACATCTACATGAGAACATCTGAATCATGAGAACCTGAACATGAGAACATCTGAGCCTACATGAGAACATCTGAGCCTACATGAGACATCACCTACATGAGAACATCTGAGCCTACATGAGAACATCTGAACCTTCATGAGAACATCTGAGCCTTCATGAGAACATCTGAGCCTACATGAGAACATCTGAACCTTCATGAGAACATCTGAACCTACATGAGAACATCTGAGCCTACATGAGAACATCTGAGCCTACATGAGAACATCTGAGCCTACATGAGAACATCTGAGCCTACATGAGAACATCTGAGCCTACCTGAGAACATCTGAGCCTACATGAGAACATCTGAGCCTACATGAGAACATCTGAACACTACCATGAGAACATCTGAGCCTACATGAGAACATCTGAACACACCAGAGAACATCTGAGCCTACCTGAGAACATCTGAGCCTACATGAGAACATCTGAGCCTACCTGAGAACATCTGAGCCTACCTGAGAACATCTGAGCCTACATGAGAACATCTGAGCCTACCTGAGAACATCTGAGCCTACATGAGAACATCTGAGCCTACCTGAGAACATCTGAACACACCAGAGAACATCTGAGCCTACCTGAGAACATCTGAGCCTACATGAGAACATCTGAGCCTACCTGAGAACATCTGAACACACCAGAGAACATCTGAGCCTACCTGAGAACATCTGAACACACCAGAGAACATCTGAGCCTACCTGAGAACATCTGAACACACCTGAGAACATCTGAGAACATATACATAACACACTAGAGAACACGGATAAATCACACTAACATAAAACTTATCAATGAAAACATCAACTGGGATATACGAGAGGGGACTCGAACACGCGACCAAGAGACGCCAGCCACTGAACCACCCACCAAATCAGACTGGCCCAATGCTTGGTTCCAGCAGCTGGGAATCCCTAGAACGAGGGTTCGAGTCGCCTCAAAGCCCCTAGTTGCTTTTCTCCATAATAATAACCCGTCTACAGCATCTACAAGACCGTCTAGAGAGCTTCTAGACGGCATCTGTCTGCATTAAGACAGACGAAGAATGAAGATGGACACAAACCAACAAACCTGAAGTATAAAGAAAATGGAAATACTGAACCAGTAAAAATAAGACGTGTAAATAAAGATAGAGAATCACCAGAGGAATGAATGGGAGGAACGAAGCTTGGGGAAGTGAGTTGACCAGACCACACACTAGAAGTTGAAGGGACGACGACGTTTCGGTCCGTCCTGGACCATTCTCAAGTCGATTCAGCCACGTTATTGTGACTCATCGCCTGCACTTGGGGAAGTGAGAAACGTGAATGAACAGCATGTTAAAAGGACAACTGAATCATCTAAATTAACAGGAATTAACCTACTGGAGTCATTAAGCAACAAACAGGTAGAGGAAGCAGTAGATATATAGCCTCTTAATAGCAACATTTTAACAGTGACAACTTTCCCAAAAGCTAAAAAAAAAAAAACACATGTATTATAAAACCAAACAAGAAAAAGCTTTATCCGTCCTTGTAGGATAAAACAGAACCCCCTAAAAGAACCCCGAAATAACACCACCACTACAATAATGCTATTCGCAACATCATGCACCAAGACATTATTCACAGACACAACTCTTACTGCTTCACTATCTTCAGCGTTCCCGCCAAAAAAAAAAAAGGTAAATAAACACATCCCAAAAAATAAAGGGCGAAAAAAAAATCATGTGGATGGAAATGTTCCCGATAGCTGATTGGTTGAGAAACCCGAGACGCGACCAATTAGCCCCGCCCTCGCACCGTCAACAGACCAATAAAGAGAGTGGTCGGCGTTGATTGGCTAGCGAACACAATCCCTTGACCCAGTATCAAGTTTCCTGGACAGACTCAGAGAATACGCGGGAAATGCTTAAAGAACATGTAACGTCCGTCCATTATGAAAAGAAAGTCATAGCAACAAAAACAAAACAAAAAAAGCCATTCCCCCCCAAAAAAAAATAATTAAAATATTCCTCCAAAAAAAGTGAAACTATTCCCCTCAAAAAAGATATTGAACAAAAGCGAATGAGAACCAAACAACAGAACTCTGAATCAAAATAAGGAAAAAGTCACAGGGAGAGATAGAAAGCAAATAATACCGAGAGAGAGAGAGAGAGAATAGACAAAAGAGGAACTGGAATAGAGTCCAATAGAAAGGAAGGTGTGGAGAATGATGGGGAGTGAGAGGAGATGCTGGGGCATGTTGATATGAGCATCTTGGGTAAAGAGAAGACTTGCATTCCTCTTTAGAGGTTATGAAAGACCCGCTTGCATGGGATACAAGAGGTCACCACCACCACCACTACCACCACCATCACTACCCACTACCACAGTCACCACCACCACTACCAGTTACCACTACCCACCACCACCACTACCCACTACCATCACTACCCACTACCACAGTCACCACCACCCACTACGCACTACCACAGTCACCATCATCACTACCCACTACCACAGTCACTACCCACTACCACAGTCACCACCATCACTACCCACTACCACAGTCACTACCCACTACCACAGTCACCACCATCACTACCCACTACCACAGTCACCACCATCACTACCCACTACCACAGTCACTACCCACTACCACAGTCACCACCACCCACTACCATCACTACCACAGTCACCACCATCACCACACTACTACCACAGTCACCACCACCACCACTACCACCACCACAGTCACCACCACCATCACTACCACAGTCACTACTCACCACCACCACTACCACCACCATCACTACCCACCACCACAGTCACCACCACCACCACTACCCACCACCACAGTCACCACCACCACCACAGTCACCACCACCACTACCCACCACCACCACCACAGTCACCACCACCATCAGTCACCACCACCACCACAGTCACTACCACCACTGCCACAGTCACCACCACCACTACCACAGTCACCACCACCACTACCACCACCACCACTACCCACTACCACAGTCACCACCATCACTACCACCACCACCACTACCCACTAGCACAGTCACCACCATCACTACCCACTACCACAGTCACCACCACCATCACTACACCACCACCACTACCCACTACCACAGTCACCACCATCACTACCACAGTCACCACCACCACTCCCACAGTCACCACCACCACTACCACAGTCACCACCACCACCACCACAGTCACCACCACCACCACCACCACCACCACAGTCACTACCACCACTGCCACAGTCACCACCACCACTACCACAGTCACCACCACCACTACCACAGTCACTACCACAGTCACTACCACCACCACTACCACAGTCACCAGCACCACTACCACAGTCACCACCACCACTACCACAGTCACAACCACCACAGTCACCACCCCCACCACAGTCACCACCACCACGGCCACCAGCACCATCATAGTCAACACCACCACCACAATCACCACAATCACCACAATCACCACCCCACCACAGTCACCACCACCACAGTCACCACCACCACAGTCACCACCACCACCACGGCCACCAGCAGCACCACAGTCACCACCACCACCACCACCACCACCACAGTCACCTCCACCACCACACTCACCACCACCACAGTCACCACCACCACAGTCACCACCACCACACTCACCACCACCACACTCACCACCACCACCACAGTCACCACCACCACCACCACACTCACCACCACCACCACAGTCACCACCACCACCACCACAGTCACCACCACCACCACAGTCACCACCTCCACCACAGTCACCACCACCACGGCCACCAGCACCATCATAGTCAACACCACCACCACCACAATCACCACCACCACCACCACCACAATCACCACCCCCACCACAGTCACCCCCACCACAGTCACCACCACCACACTCACCACCACCACCACACTCACCACCACCACCACCACCACACTCACCACCACCACCACCACCACCACCACCACCACAGTCACCACCACCGCCACAGTCACCACCACCCACCACCACCACCACCACACTCACCACCACCACCACAGTCACACCACCACCTCACTCACCACCACCACACTCACCACCACCACCACACTCACCACCACCACCACAGTCACCCCCCACCACAGTCACCACCACCACACTCACCACCACCACCACCACCACACTCACCACCACCACCACCACCACCACCACAGTCATCACCACCGCCACAGTCACCACCTCCACTACCACATTCAAAACCATCGATATTTCGATACATTTAATAAACCTTCGAAAATCCCAGGCCTACCAGTATCCTCCCCCAAAGCCTACCCCCAGGGGTCAAGACCCATCCACCACGTAAGGAATATGAAGGCCTACCCACCGTGGGAGGCCTAATTGGGCCGCAAAACTAACTTACTAACCAGCCAGTCTACCTTAGTCCAGAACGTTACTCAAGACTAAGGTAAACTCACAGAGAACCTCGCGTGTATACTCATGACGAATATCTTGACGAATTTGAACCATTAATTCATTAGACATACGCTGGACGAGCTCCGAACTAACGTACACAAAAAATGGCATTTTTTCCCACTGGGAAAAACAAAACAAAAAAAATGATAACAGGGAATCATCACTACGTCTTAACTAATGAAGAAAACAAAGGAGTGGATGGTAAAGTTGACTGTCACCAACATATAATTAGAGTTTACAGCAAATATCAATACAAATCCACGTGAAATGTATTATCAACGCATGAAGGAAGATAGTCCACTACGGGCTCACCATTGCCCGTGCTACTTGGAACTTTTTGTTCCAAGTAGCGAATCTTAAACAACAACAACAATTAAAGAAGATAGTGTAGATGGCGTTTCTTGACCAAACCCCACGCATCAGAAGATGAAGAGGCGACAGAGTTTCGGTCCGTCCTGAGACCATTACCAAGTGGTGTGTGGTCCAGGACGGACCGAAACATCGTCATCTTCAGGTGTGTGTGTGTGTGGTTTGGTCATTATGCCTTCAGTCCCGTTATTGTGACTCAACATCTGCATATAGCAGGCATTTAATGCTCCAAAGCTGTAAAACGCTGCACATTTGGAAACAGAAATAGATAAGTGATCAGACAAGTCCCCCCCCCCCCAAAAAAAAAAAATAAACGTACACAAGTAAGCAGAGACTGAGAGAGAGAGAGAGAGAGAGAGAGAGAGAGAGAGAGAGAGAGAGAGAGAGAGAGAGAGAGAGAGAGAGAGAGAGAGAGAGAGAGAGAGAGAGAGAGAGACCTTGGAGTGATAGAGAATCTGAAAGACAAATAGAACTCCGGCGTTCACTACCAGAGTTTACGAATTTAGGTCAGAGAACGTTAGTCAGAGAACGCTGTCCTAAATCAGCCCGCTTTATTAATGCGTTCTAGTCTTGAGTATTGCAGAATTTTGGGTCACATCTGAGAAAATATATCGACAATGTATATATATATATATATATATATATATATATATATATATATATATATATATATATATATATATATATATATATATATATATATATATATATATATATATATATATATATATGTCGTACCTAATAGCCAGAACGCACTTCTCGGCCTACTATGCAAGGCCCGATTTGCCTAATAAGCGAAGTTTTCATGAAATAATTGTTTTTCGACTACCTAACCTACCTAACCTAACCTAACCTAACTTTTTCGGCTACCTAACCTAACCTAGCCTCTAAAGATAGGTTAGGTTAGGTTAGGTAGGGTTGGTTAGGTTCGGTCATATATCTACGTTAATTTTAACTCCAATAAAAAAAAATTGACCTCATACATAATGAAATGGGTAGCTTTATCATTCCATAAGAAGAAATTAGAGAAAATAGATTAATTTAGGAAAACTTGGCTTATTAGGCAAATCGGGCCTTGAATAGTAGGCTGAGAAGTGCGTTCTGGCTACTAGGTACGACATATATATATATATATATATATATATATATATATATATATATATATATATATATATATATATCTTCCAGTAGCTGGCATAACTAGTATGCTTTAACCCACTACGCCATCAGACCTTACAAAAGAAGTAGATAGTTCGAGATATATATATCTCAAACATCTCTACCTCCCGAAGGCACCAGATGAGTGAGGGGTCAATCTGCAATTTTCGTCAAGCCACTGTCAATGTTTCTTTTGTAAGGTCTGATGGCGTAGTGGGTTAAAGCATACTAGTTATGCCAGCTACTGGAAGGTAGTTGTGCTTTCTGGGTTCGAGTCCCACTGGTGGGTGTTGTCCAAAGATTGTTTATCTTCACTTGTGGTTTATGCAAGTATAGGCTTATATATATATATATATATATATGTACATATATATATATATATATATATATATATATATATATATATATATATATATATATATATATATGTACATATATATATATATATATATATATATATATATATATATATATATATATATATATATATATATATATATATATATATATATATATATATACACGAGTTCAACGCCAAAACCAATGCAGACACGTATTTTATCTTACGAAAACTGCCTCTTAAAACCTAACTTACATCGTCTCGTGAGCAGAAAATGACAAGGTTACAGCTATTAAATATTTCTAAGTATTTAAATCCTCAAGGGATATTACAAGGTTTTTTTTTAATATTAGTGGAAAAGATTTTGTGTGGTACAGAAATCACGTGTGGAACAGTTTACCACGATTTACTGTGTGATACAGTAATTACTTATGTAACAGTTAACTCTATACAACGTACTAATAAGGCCGTTGTCTTCACGTAGTGAGACTTACGCAACGGTGTGGAGATGGTCATTAAGCTAATTTGAAATTGGTAAGAGAGACAGGCAGAGACTGAAACATTGACAGACAAAGGGGGAAACAGACAGTTAAACAGAGGTGGAAACAGAGAGAAACAGAGAATAGATAATTTTTTTCCCCTCCTGAATACCCGTCCAAAACAAGGTGTTGGTAGGCAATGGTTCAGCAGTTTGCTAACCCTCAGAGTAGTCACAGGTGTTACAGGTGTTACAGCCTTAGGGACGTTACTCTCAGAGCAGTAACACAGGTGTTCAAATCACAGGTGTTTATGTAACAAGCGAGGGAATAACCCCATCGATAATTAAAGCCACCGCAACAGAAGATAAATTTAAAGAAATAAAATTAACATATCTCAATGGGCACATTTTGATCACCTGACCAAACTTAATAAAAAAAAATAATGTGGTACTTTTTTTTGCATCACGGTTAACAAAAATAATTTATATTATCCCGCCACAACCCGACGTTTTTAATCTAATTAAACAAAAAGTTTGGCAAATATAAATTCCTTTTCACATTAATTACGTTTAAATGAAATCAATGTAAAATTAACCCCCAAAACTCTATTCATCAGTTAATCTGAATAACAAAATAATGAATTATAAAATACTCCTGATGTGGTCATATATATATATATATATATATATATATATATATATATATATATATATATATTACTTTATATATAATATATATATGTATATGTATATATAACTCCAATATATACGTAATGAAATGGGTAGCTTTATTATTTCATAAGAAAAAAATTATATGCAAATCGGGCCTTATATTAGGCCGAGAAGTGCGTTCTGGCTATATATATATATATATATATATATATATATATATATATATATATATATATATATATATATATATATATATATATATATATATATGATTGAATCAATGATTCTAGTACGAACCTTTTCTATTACTCATCATCATCTTCGTCTTCTTCTTCACGTGGATAAGTGAAGAAAAAGAAGATGAGGCCATTAGGGAAGTCGAAAAATATATTTTTTAACGATAATTTTTAATATTTTATTGGGCCTGACGCGTTTCGTTGGAAGCTGTCAACATCTTCGGAGGCAGGAGGAGAAGCAGATACAACAAATTATCATGTTACCAGTTGACGAAGGCGGGGCCCAGGAGATAAGGTGTGGGCTGGATTATTTTATTATCGTGGACCTGTGGGTGGGTGGGATGTAGCAAAGTATAAGCTGGATGTTGTGATAGTTGAATGACAATGTTTGATATGTAGTGCTTCGGCTATGTCTAATCTCCTATGGTTTTATCTGGCGACTATTTCGGCGTTGATGGTAGCAAGATATCTCTGGGGAGATGGTCTGGCTGTGAGTAGAAATAGTTTAATATTTAACAGTACCTGGTTGCAAGTGCAATGACAGGCGTCGTGAAAGAGGTGTTGTTGTCTTGCCTATATATTGAAATCGTTGGGATTGTCGGTCCCCTTTATATTCCTGTAGTATATAGTGAGCTGTGTCTTCTGGTTAGTGTTGTAGGGGATGACACAGACAGGGACAGTCGGGGTAGAGACACAGCAAGACACAAACGAGGACATTACAGACAGACACAGACAAGCAAGATGCCTCTGGATCGGCCCTGGCAGAGAGGAGGGGGTAAGGGAAACATGACAGACTAAGCTGAAATGCTCTCTCAGCCAGATAACAGCACATCGTCACTTGCCAGAGCTGCTGGTAGCAGGAGGGGGTGGAGAGTGCCATGGGTTGGGGGCAGGGAGGAGGTTGCCATGGTTTGGGGCAGGGACGGGGTTGCCATGGGTTGAGGCAGGAGGATTGGTGGGGGCGTGGGGGAGGTGTGTGTGTGTGTGTTTAGGAAGAGTCAGATGGTTGTTATCGGGGGTAGGGAAGGTTGAAGGGGGTGGTTGCATGGGAGGAGACAGGTAAGGGGGTGCAGGTAGAAGTTGAAGGAGGTGGGGGGGGAGAAGAGGTAGGGATGATCAGAGGTTGTGGAAGAAGCAGGGTAGGAGCGGGTTGTGGTTGTGAAAAAGGGAGAAAAAATGTGGTGGGGGGGGGCCTATGATTAAGGGTCTGGAGCCATTCCTGCAGGCAACTGAAGCTGCTCTATTATATTAATGGTTGCCATGTTGTTCTTATCAAACTTCTGTCTGGGTCTCGTGTCATTTAGTGGAGGGTTGTAAATGACTGCCACTATTATCTTAGGTCCACCCATTGTTATAGTTCCTGTGTGTGTGTGTGTGTGTGTGTGTGTGTGTGTGTGTGTGTGTGTGTGTGTGTGTGTGTGTGTGTGTGTGTGTGTGTGTGTGTGTGTGTGTATGTGTGTGTGGACAGAACTGAAATATTTAGCATGGACAGGAGGGCGCAGGACCGACAAGTCAGCATAGGTGAAAACTCAAAACCACAATTGAGATTGGAAGCCAAAACCATCTTCAACTGGCGTGCTGAAAGGCGGGGTGACATGAGCTGAAGCTCATTCCCTGTGAGCACGTATGCAACCCAAGTCCATACTATTAACATCCCACGAAAATAAAATTCCCCAATCACACTGGAAAGGAATCGAATCCCTGAGCCGAACAGGCAGTAATGAGATGTTGACTTTTAATTCTGTGTATTGGATGCCACAGGAGGACCACTAGTCCTCTTTCAGACCTAAACCCCCCAACACAGACCCCAGTTACTCCCTCCCCCCATCTTCTTCCCCTCCCCCATTCTTCCCTTCCCCATTCCTTTCTCTCCCCCTCCTCCATGGGTCATCTATTTTACCCTACGTGTTACAGAAGCTGTGACAGCTTCTTGGAAAGTTCGTAATAGGGCATGTGTATATTTTTTTTGCTTCTCCTCGCCTCAACTCTTCTCTTAGATTGTTAGCATTCAGCCACGAATTTGCAGCCATTCAGTAACTTCCTTTGAATCTTGTTATAGGTCTTACCTCTATCTATATCTAGACACGTTCCATATGTCTAGACATATTGAACTGAGTAGACAATAAGATACCGAGAAATCCATCCACTAGAAACCCAACAACCCTAAAATTCAGCTATAAAAAAACCGACCCCAACCTCATCTTATCCACCCCAACCCCCCCACAAAACCTCCAAGAACCTCACCTAGCTACCAAGAACCCGACAGGCACCCACTTTCTAGAGAACCAGACCCCCACCCACCCACCCACCAACCATATGGGAAGAGGCCAGTTTCCCAGGGCCCTGCGGTAGTCACCGTTAGACAATCAACTTGATAGACCGCATTATGGAAATTGAAGACATTCCATTCGCTTGGCTCCAAGACAACTCCAGTGTCGGCTCATTGTTTACATGGAGTTAAACAGCTTTTCTCCGGTGTATTTTGCCTGTGTCAAATACTCCTTTAGCGACGTCGGAGCGCAAACACTTTAAACAGGGCGCGTCATGTGTGTGTCATAAGTGGGTTTGTTTTTGTTTTTATAAGTGAGTAAAGTAAGGCTGTTTTGGTTTATAAGTGCGCGAGGTGAGGCCGTCTGGAAGAGGAAGGGGGGGGTGTGAGCGGGCTGGGATGGTAATGACAATATTGCGTGTGTGTGTGTGTGTGTGTGTGTGTGTGTGTGTGTGTGTGTGTGTGTTGTGTGTGTGTGTGTGTGTGTGTGTGTGTGTGTGTGTGTGTGTGTGTGTGTGTGTGTGTGTGTGTGTGTGTGTGTGTGTGTGTGTGTGTGCAAACTGACGACTCTTGACTTGGTATGCAAGTGCACGTTGCAAGGAATTTATTTACAAGTGCACTTTATTGGTTGTTTGTGTGTGTGTGTGATTCTTAGAACTCTCAGGGGGGGGGATATTTTATTTTAGTTAGGAGGAATATATATATATAGATGTCTTGAAATTAATTTCAAGTTGAATCTACAATTTTATGTTTTCTCTCGGTTAAAACAGGGTCGTATCTAGTAGAGCTTTGAAGTCATACTCGTCGATGTGGCTACAGAGGTCAAGTAACCTCGAGGAGCCATTGGAGGAGGACCTCCTGAAGTCCCTTGTTAGCCAGACCTCTTGTCATTTAGCTGTCACACTTGACTTGCTTGTTTGACGTCATTTAGTGAGGGTGATCGACTTCAGAGCTCTGGGAATGGTTAATATTTTCCCAATGTGAAGCTTTGTAAGTTGAGCCAACCCATATTCAGATCAGCAGCAATCATATTGTGACGAAGGAATTTCAAATGATCCACTCCAAACCAGGGGGCCAGATTCACGAATGCACTTACGCAAGCACTTACGAACGTGTACATCTTTTCTCAATCTTTGGCGGCTTTGTTTCCAATTCTTAAACAGTTAATGAGCTCCGAAGCACCAGGAGGCTGTTTATAACAATAACAACAGCTGAATGGCAAGTTTTCATGCTGTGTAAACTGTTTAATAAATGTAACCAAAGCCGTCAAAGATTGAGGAAAGATGTACACGTTCGTAAGTGCTTGCGTAAGTGCTTTCGTGAATCTGGCCCCAGGCCTAGTCGACTGTGCAAGGATATCGGCATGAGAGTAAGAATGTGAAGTGATGTGCAGTGTGTTGGGAGGGAATTGTCAAGGGAAAAGCGCCAAGCCATTTCGACTATATAGCACTTGGAAGGGGTTTGGATAAGAATTTTTGGATGGCATGGGGGAAAAGGAATGGGGCCCAACCAGTTAGACGGAAGTTACTGCTCTGCGCAAGATGTCGACATTGTAAACAATCGGACAATCGACATTGTAAAACAATGTCGTCGTTTTCAAACTTTCAGGTCGTTTGTAGCGGTCAAGAGCAAGATTTCTGAAGCCAAGAGACACAAAAGGGATTATTAGCAAAATATCGCATTATTCAGACCTGGTTTCCAGGTCTGAGTGCTCAGTCATACACTTGATTTTCAGTAAACTAAAAAGACTTTTCTTTGAATTAAGTGTTTCGATGCCCACCCTGGAAACACAAACCGAAACTATCTCTATTTTCCGCTTGTTACAACTTGTAATAAAGTTGTTACATCTTGGCTTAACGTGTTTATGACGTATTAGAACGTTGTTACAACTTGCTATATTTTTTGTTATAACTGGTTAGGAAGTGTTAAAACTTGTTCGAACGTTGTATCAACGTCGTAGTTTCGGTGTGTGTTTAGCGGGCGGTATCAGAGTGCCCCTTATACATATACAGTTTAAAACGACCAAAATTATCTTTTGTTGATGTTCAACTGAAGCAGTCTACGAGAGCAGCTTCAAGATGACTGATAACTGAGACAAGTAAGTTTTTGTTAGTGATAAGGTTAATAGTTTGATTTAAAAAAATAAAGTTACTTAGTGAGAACCTCAAGACAAAACATATATATATAATTTTCTTTTTAAATTTTATAAGCGAGGTGATAAGGATATAAGTGTTTATGTATAAGTGCGAACTGCTTGCTGGTTTCCAAGTGTCGTATCAGCTATAAGTGGGCGACGTTTTTCATTATTTTATTTGTACGTGGGTGTGTTGAACTGTGTAAAGTTATGTTAAATATTTTATGGGGTTATTTTAAATTTAAATTTAAATTTATAAATTTATAAATTTATTTATATTAAATTTAAATTAATTATTTAAATATTTTATGGGTTATGTTAAATATACATGGGGGGTGAGTATGTTGAATCGTGTGCTGTATTTTATTATGTTAAATGTATGTGTGTGAGTGTGAGAGAATGTGTGACCTTTGATTGTATGTTGTTGTTAAAGATTTAGCTATTCAGGACGGAGTATCAATGTAGCACGGGCTATGGTGAGCCCGTAATTTTGACTATAAGTGGGGTGAGCTTAAATAGTCTTACTTTAGCACACCAAGAGGGTCTGACCCTATTTATAAGAACCTGGAATACACATCTAATTACCTGTAATTATAGCAAATGATCCAGGTAACGTCCGAGGGGTGGAGTTACAGTGTGTGTTTTTGTTTTAAAAGCGCAACTATGTGTGTTTGTTCATGCACTTACGTGGTAAGTTGCTTTGCGTAAAATGTAATGAGCTGAGAGTATTTGTTTGTGCTTGAATAAAAATTAGCAGCTGCTTGGCTTTGCGGTTGTGTTCTTTAAGGAAACATTCTTTTGCTTGCATTCTTTAAGGAAACATTCTTTTGCTTGCATTCTTTAAGGAAACATTCTTTTGCTTGCATTCTTTAAGGAAATTCTTCTTATTTGACAGAGAAATAAATGCTAACATTAATAGCTTCAGAAATCTAGTTTGGGAGTACTCATCTAATTATACTTGCAGAGGGGTTGAGCTTCGGCTCTTTGGTCCCGCCTCTCAACTGTATATCAAATGATGTATTGGTTCCAGAGAAAATTTGGCTCTGTCATATCTACATTTGAAACTGTGTATGGAGTCTGCCTCCACTACATCATGTAATTTAATTACCTAAGTTATTATCTAAGTGTAGTTACAGGATGAGAGCTAGGCTCGTGGTGTCCCGTCTTCCCAGAACTCTTTGTCGTATAACGCTTTGAAACTACTGACGGTTTTGGCCTTTTGGTGTGTGTGTGTGTGTGTGTGTGTGTGTGTGTGTGTGTGTGTGTGTGTGTGTGTGTGTGTGTGTGTGTGTGTGTGTGTGTGTGTGTGTGTGTGTGTGTGTGTGTGTGTATGTGTGTGTGTGTGTGTGTGTGTGTGTGTGTGTGTGTGTGTGTGTGTGTGTGTGTGTGTGTGTGTGTGTGTGTGTGTGTGTGTGTGTGTTGTGTGTGTGTGTGTGTGTGTGTGTGTGTGTGTGTGTGTGTGTGTGTGTGTGTGTGTGTGTGTGTGTGTGTGTGTGTGTGTGTGTGTGTGTGTGTGTGTGTGTGTGTGTGTGTGTATGTGTGTGTGTGTGTGTGTGTGTGTGTGTGTGTGTGTGTGTGTGTGTGTGTGTTGTGTGTGTGTGTGTGTGTGTGTGTGTGTGTGTGTGTGTGTGTGTGTGTGTGTGTTGTGTGTGTGTGTGTGTGTGTGTGTGTGTGTGTGTGTGTGTGTGTGTGTGTGTGTGTGTGTGTGTGTGTGTGTGTGTGTGTGTGTGTGTGTGTGTGTGTGTGTGTGTGTGTGTGTGTGTGTGTGTGTGTGTGTGTGTGTGTGTGTGTGTGTGTACTCACCTAATTGTACTCACCTAATTGTGCTTGCGGGGGTTGAGCTCTGGCTCTTTGGTCCCGCCTCTCAACCGTCAATCAACCGGTTGAGTGTGAGTGTTTGTGTGTGTGTGTGTGTGTGTGTGTGTGTGTGAAAGAGAGTTGTGATAAATTATATATTTCAAAATTACTTTCTACAACAAATTCTTCCCCACCATTTGGGATTTCCCCAATTACCAATCAATATCTTTCCCCAGAATAGTGATTCTTGAGATAGATTAATTCAACGTCACTGTTTGCCTATTTTACGGGCTATTCATGCCCGTGCCACCTCTTGGGGTGGCTTAATCTTAAAAAAAAAAAACTTTACCTATTGTACCAATCCTCCCATTCTGCCTCTAATTCCCTTTTCTTAGAGTCTTCTTGGTCATATATACACACTTCTTAATACACACAACTACAGTCATTTCATCTTATTTCTTTATTATTTCTTCATTTCTTTCATTTCTATCTTATTTCTTTATTAATCATCGGGTTGTATGCTTCGTCTTCTTTATTGGTCATTGTGTTGTCAACTTTGTTCCTCTTGTTAATGTGGTCTTATACCCGCTCCTTCCTCTCTCAATATTCTGCTTCCTTACTGGCTAGGCCGACTTTTTTTCTAATTTCCTTATTGTATTTTCGTGAGAGAGAGAGAGAGAGAGATAGAGAGAGAGAGAGAGAGAGAGAGAGAGAGAGAGAGAGAGAGAGAGAGAGAGAGAGAGAGAGAGAGAGAGAGAGAGAGAGAGAGAGAGAGAGGTTAGGAAGCACTTTTCTTAAAACAACCAACCGTTAGAAAGACAGGGTCCATGAACTAACAACTCGATTCTGCAGGAATAAATAGGTGAGTATAAATGAGTGAACAGACACTCACATACCTCAACCACCACCACCCACCCACTCACTCCCACATCATCCCACCCACTCACTCCCACATCAGCCCACCCACGTACACTTCCCCTGCCCCCGTACACCAACCAAACCGGCCACGAGAGAACCACTCAAAACAGAGAAATATGCGATACCACACAGCTAAGACAGACACTCCAAACCCGAGGCAGCTGTGGACGCTACTTCACCACCCTTCACAGCGGCCACTTAGCAGCGGAGGCGTTCCAGGCAGTTGTTTCCCAAGGGCCTGGAACCTGGAAGTTGAGGCCAAAGTTCCAGACTGTAGCTTCACAAGAGCTACTGGAAGCTGCTGGATGTGATCAGGTTTTTGATGAGGGCTTAAGTAAGGGATTGGAAAATACCAGACAGCAATCCAGAGAGTTCCCAGCAAATAGATTTTTAGAGCTGAGGGGGGAAAGCTCCAAGTTCATTGTCTTTAGATGTACGAGAGTTCGAGCCCATTGTATCTGAAGCTGTGGCAGTCAAGAGACCGTATCAGGTCTTTGGATACTATTCTTGGAGAATCAGGTCTTTGGGCACTATTCTTGGAGAATCAGGTCTTTGGGCACTATTCTTGGAGAATCAGGTCTTTGGGCACTATTCTTGGAGAATCAGGTCTTTGGGCACTATTCTTGGAGAATCAGGTCTTTGGGCACTATTCTTGGAGAATCAGGTCTTTGGGCACTATTCTTGGAGAATCAGGTCTTTGGGCACTATTCTTGGAGAATCAGGTCTTTTGACACTATTCTTGGAGAATCAGGTCTTTTGACACTATTCTTGGAGAATCAGGTCTTTGGGCACTATTCTTGGAGAATCAGGTCTTTGGGCACTATTCTTGGAGAATCAGGTCTTTGGGCACTATTCTTGGAGAATCAGGTCTTTTGACACTATTCTTGGAGAATCAGGTCTTTGGGCACTATTCTTGGAGAATCAGGTCTTTGGGCACTATTCTTGGAGAATCAGGTCTTTGGGCACTATTCTTGGAGAATCAGGTCTTTGGGCACTATTCTTGGAGAATCAGGTCTTTGGGCACTATTCTTGGAGAATCAGGTCTTTGGGCACTATTCTTGGAGAATCAGGTCTTTTGACACTATTTTTGGAGAATCAGGTCTTTGGGCACTATTCTTGGAGAATCAGGTCTTTGGGCAATATTCTTGGAGAATCAGGTCTTTGGACACTATTCTTAGAGAATCAGGTCTTTGGGCACTATTCTTGGAGAATCAGGTCTTTGGGCACTATTCTTGGAGAATCAGGTCTTTGGGCACTATTCTTGAAGAATCAGGTCTTTGGGCACTATTCTTGGAGAATCAGGTCTTTGGGCACTATTCTTGGAGAATCAGGTCTTTGGGCACTATTCTTGGAGAATCAGGTCTTTGGGCAATATTCTTGGAGAATCAGGTCTTTGGACACTATTCTTAGAGAATCAGGTCTTTGGGCACTATTCTTGGAGAATCAGGTCTTTGGGCACTATTCTTGGAGAATCAGGTCTTTGGGCACTATTCTTGGAGAATTAGGTCTTTGGGCACTATTCTTAGAGAATCAGGTCTTTGGGCACTATTCTTGGAGAATCAGGTCTTTGGGCACTATTCTTGGAGAATCAGGTCTTTGGGCACTATTCTTGGAGAATCAGGTCTTTGGGCACTATTCTTGGAGAATCAGGTCTTTGGGCACTATTCTTGGAGAATCAGGTCTTTGGGCACTATTCTTGGAGAATTAGGTCTCCAAGACACTATCCTAGAGAATGGAAACAGGGCTTCTGACTATTTTTTTAATTATTATTTAGAAGCTAAAAAAACATTCTAGGGCATGACGCTAAAACACAATTCGTGTCCCTGGGTAGTTAATGGTATTACCTAATTAATAATGCCTTTAAGGTATAGAAAATGGCTAATTTAGTCCCTTCAAACTTTGTGCTTGTGATCAGGACAAGAGATATATTGAAACTTACCTAATTTTCAGAATATTTCAGATAGATTCGGTATCAGTATCTGAAACAACCCCCCCATGGAGACCCATCAGGAATAGGGGGGTCTGCATGGTGGTTGTGTCTGAATGGGTCTCCGTCTGCCGGATGATTGCAGACTCTGATTGCTGTTATCTCTGAAAAAAATGCAGATATATATATCTGCATTTTTCAGAGAGCTGGTTCAGTTTATGACCAAAATCTCCATTGAATCTGGAAGCTGCAAGAGTAAGACAAGCTCTTAATCTATCGTTGTGGAAGCTGCAAGATTAAGACAAGCTCTTAATCTATTGTTGTGGAAGCTGCAAGAGTAAGACAAGCTCTTAATCTATCGTTGTGGAAGCTGCAAGATTAAGACAAGCTCTTAGTCTATTGTCGTGGAAGCTGCGAAGCCCTATTGGACTTTACGTACAAAGTTTCGTACAGGCTTGAAAATGAAAGATCACTGTAGACACAAATTTGACATGGGTTTGGAAGGGCTCTGGATACGAAGGATGTGACCCCCTTCCCTCCTCTCTCGACCTTCTGATCTCATCACAACGACGGTCTTCAGGTTCCATCATCCTGGCCCTGCACATCTAGGTTTTAGACCAAAGGTTCACTACTGACATCTGGAAGATGGATTAGAATGCATTTTTTTCAGACGAAAGCCTATTGAGGCTCTATTCAAGCCGAACTTTCACTCAATCGATTGCTTATCTTAAGAAATCGACCAATACGTTAAAAAATGCGACGTATTAGTAGATATTATAGCACCGTTATAATGACGTTCCATCGGAATCGATAGTTATAGGGGTGTCGCTTGGATTCGTACGTTCCTAGCTAGGCAAAAACAGTCGCATTTTATACGGAGTGGCATTGAGAAAACGAGCAGCAGCTGATATAAAGTGCAAGGCATCCGGAAGTTCATCTCCTGATGATGAAGATGCTGCGAGACCGAGCCTAAGCATCCTCGCTTCTGAGGTGTTGGAACCCCAAGACCGAGATGAAGGGACCAAAGTTATGTCTTAATTCTGTTTCACGATTGGCTGCTTCGCTCTGGCGTAGTGGGCACAGGGGGTTGATCGCGTGTAATTAAATAAGGTTAAGCGAAATGTTGTGAGATTTGAGATGATTTAACGATTTCTTGGCGAGGCTTAATCTATCTCGGGGGGGGGGGGGGGAAGGTTAGGAGAGGTAAGCAAAGATTTAGGTAAAAAAAAAAAACTTAACGTCATTTATGGTTGAATGTTTTTTTTCTTCTTTTTTTTTGGCCGGTTGAAGGAGGTTTGTACATACAAAATACATCCTTAAATTCCACTGCCCACTGTCTTTTACCTCTCCTCCTTCCTCCCCTCCCCCCCCCCCTTCCTTCCCCCCCCCTTCCTTCGCCACCCCCCCTACCCTCCAACATCCCCCCCCTCCCCATGCCCTTAGCCTCCCCCTCCCTTCTCCCCCTCCCAGTTCCTCACCTCATCTTCCCTACATCCAGTCTCATTCTCTTTCCATGCTTCCCAATCTTTCCTCTCCCTTCATTCTCGTCTCCTTCCATTTCTCCCCTGTTTGCTTCCTCCCTATATCCCTTTACCTCCCTGTAGCATCAGTTCCTCCCTCCCCTGTCTAACCCCCCTGCCTGTCTACTCCCTCTATCCGGCAGTCGCCGCCTGACCGAGCGGCCGGCCGTACCCCACACATCCAGATATCATGGGAGAGGTGACCTGAAGTGCTTCTCCGAGTCGGTCTTGGGGCCCCGAGGGGACCCCCAAGCCCCGGCTTAAGATATGCTCCATCATGACGTTGTATTTACAGCGTTTTCCAGTTGTTGGTCAAAATTATAATTAGCTATTCCTCACAGGCTGCGGAGCTTGCTGTTCCGACCCGGTGGTTGGTAAACACTGTTTCTGGCTGCTTTTGGCCCAGTGATGTCATGGACGTGATTACGCAAGACTGGACTTTTTTTTTCTCTCTCCCTCAAAAAGTCCAAAGAGTCTCAGAAACTAGCCACTGCTAATAAGGTAGAGGTTGTTCTTTTTTTTTGTTTTATTCGTAACATAAAGAATTTTAGCTATAGTAAAAAGTGTTTTTATTGCCTATTTTATTGGTTGAAAATTAGTCAGTTAAATATCTTTAGTTTTTTTTAACACTTGGGGAGAAAAAAAAGAGTGATGTATACAATGAACTCACATTAACGTGACGTATCAATGAGGAAACCAACAGAAGCCGTGAGGTGGATTCGAACCCGTTCACTTGGTTATCTAAGTCAACTTAAAAGCATCTGAGACAACTGATGTTTATACCTACATTTAGAGGTTTGAAAAACAAGAAAAAACAAAAAACATGATTTCATTCATGTTCATTCATTCATTCACCACAATTCCAGATATCATTTTCTTGAGGTTATCTTGAGATGATTTCGGGGCTTTTAGTGTCCCCGCGGCCCGGTCCTCGACCAGGCCTCCACCCCCAGGAAGCAGCCCGTGACAGCTGACTAACACCCAGGTACCTATTTTACTGCTAGGTAACAGGGGCATAGGGTGAAAGAAACTGCCCATTGTTTCTCGCCGGCGCCCGGGATCGAACCCGGGACCACAGGATCACAAGTCCAGTGTGCTGTCCGCTCGGCCGACCGGCTCCCATTATTGATAGTTACAATTATAAAATATAAATCCAAATTAGAGCATTAACCAAGTGAAATAAAAACTGAAACAATTTAGATTTTGAAAACAAATTTTTGCAAAATGTTTTTTTTAGAAAGGAAGGTTGTAGACCTAAGGAACAAATGATCAAAATAACATTTTAGAAGCATTATCCACAGAAACTTTGAAGCACAGGATGGATAAGCACATGAGTGGAAGTGGTTGGATAATCACACAAGAGTGAATGCTTGGATAAGCACACAAGAGTGTTTGTTCCTTTAAACTGTTACCACCAGCATTACGATCATCGTGTTTCTATATAAGATTTCTAAATGTTCCAAAGTTTGCATTTCTATTATAAAGACAAAAATAATGATACAAAAAAAAATAAGAATCTGTTACCTAAATAGAAACTAAATATTTTTAGAACATCCTAAAGGGAGCCGGTCGGCCGAGCGGACAGCACGCTGGACTTGTGATCCTGTGGACCTGGGTTCGATCCCAGGCGCCGGCGAGAAACAATGGGCAGAGTTTCTTTCACCCTATGCCCCTGTTACCTAGCACTAAAATAGGTACCTGGGTTGTTAGTCAGCTGTCACGGGCTGCTTCCTGGGGGTGGAGGCCTGGTCGAGGCTTTAGAGTAAATCAATAGCTTGACTGTGTTGAGGTCAAAACTAAAGTGAACAAGGGGAAGATTATATGCCAAAAAGTATACTATCCCCTCCTCCCCCCTCTGGAAGGGGAGGGAGTATACTGGAAATATACTCCCTCTCCCTTCTCTCCAAACATCACGGTGTATATACCAAGCATACTTTGGCTTCCCCCCCTTCCCGGGAATATATCCAATCTACCCAAAATGTTCTTAGAGCCGCTACTCAAAATATAACATGTAAACATGCCCAGGGACAGTTTCCAGCGCAGTCTGAACCCCACCGTCGACGTGGGGTTCAGGTGGGCCAGGTAGGCGACTCTGTATCGGGGTCTCGACGGTGAAAATAAATTTGGGGAACATGGATTCTCCAGCTACCAACACCAACATTTGAAGACAACTGCAATACATGTTCATAACTACCAACACCTCCAGAAAAACACCTTCCCACAACACCCAACACCTCCACAACACCCAACACCTCCACAACACCCAACACCTCCCCCACAACACCCAACACCTCCAGAAAAACACCTTCCCCACAACACCCAGCACCTCACCCACAACACCCAGCACCTCACCCACAACACCCAACACCTCCCCCACAACACCCAACACCTCCACAACACCCAACACCTCCACAACACCCAACACCTCCCCCACAACACCCAACACCTCCACAACACCCAACCAGAAAACCCCTTGCAACCCGTAGCGTCAAAAGTTTGACTAATTCAAACCATCAAGAACCACTCCCTAATTACCATTCTCAAACAAACCTAACAGGTGATATATTAGACGTGAACGGCAATGGCTAGTTAGTCATTCCCCCCCAAATTACTCTTAATTACAATAAACTATCTAATTATCCCCCCCCCGGTCATAATAACTGCGCAGTCCACAGGTTACGGCCAAATCGTTTCTGAACACACTGTGACTTTCTTCTAGACTCACGATTGCAGGAACATCGACCTCCCTTTGGTGGGTTAATTGATTATAATATCACTGCAAGCTTTTTGTTTTAGCCTGTTTTTGACCGCCTCCCGCCCTTCTGTTTCGGGTGGGGGGGGAGGGGGGGGGGAGGTCTTTTGGGGGGACGTTTTGTTGCTTAGTTAAAGGTCAATATTCTCTCCCCCCCCCCCTTCTTAAGGGGGGGAGGTTTTTATAAAAAAAAAACTTTAATTGAGATCTTGAGAATCTATAGATAAAATCAAAGTGTTAAACAAACTTATATATATATATATATATATATATATATATATATATATATATATATAATATAGATATATAATATTATATATATATGCGAACAAGCCTGAATGTGTGGTTTCTGGGGGTGTGAGTTTTTTCAGTTATATATATATATATATATAGATATATATATATATATATATAATATATATTATATATATATATATATATATATATATATAATATATATATATGGCACTACTGATCACAAAACACTGATCCGAGTATGTGGAAAAACCCACATGTGAAAAATAGAGAATGCTAAACGCGTTTTTCGGCTTAATTTCGTCTTCATCAGAGCAAAGTAGAATGAAGGATTCTACTTTTCTCTGTAAAAGGCGAATTAAGCCCGAAACCGCTGTTATCCATTCTCTATTTTTCACATCTGGTTTTTCCGCACACACACACACACACACACACACACCACACACACACACACACACACACACACACCACACACACAACACACACACATACACTTATATATATATAGATATATACGATATACATAAATACACACACATACACACACACTATACTGAAACAATGCCACAAGAACAAGCACAACCAAAACAAACATAAAACGAACATTTCATCTAGACAAAGACAAACACAGCCACACAATAACCCAACCTAACCTGGAAGACCAAAAAAAAGCTGAAGAAGACAAAGTGGAGCAAGAGAGAGAGAGAGAGAGACGCAAGACATTAAACATGGGGTGAGGAGGAGTAGTGTTGACACGGTGGGAGAGATGATGCTGGGGGATGGGATGGGATGGGATGGGATAGGATAGGGGGGTAAGAGAGAGGGAGGGAGGGAGGAAAATGCTTCGATATGATTGTGTCATCTATGACCACACCAGAAATTCAGACTGTGTGTGTGTGTGAGTTTAAAGAATTCTTTCGCACCTCACCACACACACACACACACACACACACACACACACACACACACACACACACACACACACACACACACACACACGGGGTGTATTAATTAAATATTAAATATATCAATGAATAAATGGGTCATGGGGGTATTAATTGGGTATTAAATATATCAGTGAATAAATGGGTCATGGGGGTATTAATTGGGTATTAAATATATCAATGAATAAATGGGTCATGGGGGTATTAATTGGGTATTAAATATATCAATGAATAAATGGGTCATGGGGGTATTAATTGGGTATTAAATATATCAATGAATAAATGGGTCATGGGGGTATTAATTGGGTATTAAATATATCAATGAATAAATGGATCATGGGGGTATTAATTGGGTATTAAATATATCAATGAATAAATGGGTCATGGGGGTATTAACTGGGTACTAAATTTATTAAGAGGGCAGCTTATGTTCCTTAGGTAGGGCCATTGGATGCTGCCTCTGCGTTTGTTCTGGGTCTTGAAGTGGATAGAATGTAATTATGTGT